ATCAAGTGACATTCCTAATCGTCGCCCCCATCCTCCTCCTCCTTCCCTTCCCTCTGTTAATCTTCTTCCTGGTTGGGACCCTCAAAGCCCTGTCTTATTTACACTCTGCTGTTCCTGCCCAGCATCATTTGGTACCTGGAAGTGAACAATGACAAGACCTGGTTTCTAGAAAAATATAAATTGAGACTCTACTTCCTGTCTACCATCTTCATCAGGTTGAGTCCTCTTGCAGACTTGTTCCTGTATGTCTTCATGAGGAAAGGGTTCATAGACAAGCTTTTGTCCTCTGTGTGTTGCTGCAGAATGGACAGCAATGATATCAGCAGTCCATCAGTATGAATGATGACAACATTTCCACAGTCAGCTTCATGTAGGCAGAGAAAGAGGGAGAGAGAGAAAGGGGAGGAAACAGGAGGAGAAATGGAGGCCAATAGAAAGGATAGAGACGAGACAGATCCTGTCATCTACTGAGACCATTTCCAATAAGACACCTAACTGTAGAGAACAGGAAGCACTGTTTGGACTCTGCTGTGGGAGAAGTGGCTGCTGGGAAATGTTTTGGTCAACTTGCTCTGGTTCACTGTGATGGCTTCAACACATGGAAATAAAATGTGTTTTATTAGTTTGGAGCTGGAAGTTGATGTCTGTCATTATTCTCCTTTAATCCCAGAAGCAAAGCAGATATTATTTTAGATGAACTGAGCTCATTCTAGCCGCCTCGCTGTCTTCTTCCTAAATCTTTATTTGGACTGTTGTTTGGATGTTTAACACAGGGAGAGCATCTCAACACGTCTTTAGCACTTTGTACTTTTTAAGTGTAATTTCTGCTGTTTTAGTGGTAGGCATGCTGCTGTTTAGGATGGGATTCAGAGCAGCTGTTTTGCAGCAGCTGTTGTGTTTTTGGCAATCTGGAGAAAATCTTAAACCACAGTTTATGTCAGATTCTATGAAATTGTACATTTTCTGGAAATCCAATAAAAATCAGTTTGTAGACCAAACTGTGAATGTTTGTCTTTGAGCAACTCAGTGAATTAAAAGCTGACAAATGAAGGTTCAACAAAATCTCTGCTGGTTGACAAATCTCTGTTGTCTATATGAACATAAAGCCCAACCTGCTGTTAGCAGGGAGGCATCCTGCACTTTCTGACCAAATGAGGTTTCCTCACAGCTCTTAAAGCTTTCAGACTTTTTTAGATAATAATTTGGGGCAGAAATGATAAAGTGTGACAGGGACAGTCACAACAGATCAATATCTAATATGAAACTAAAACTCTGTAGACGGAGGTCTGGTGAGTCATTATTTATTAACAAATAACAAAAAACTTACAGTTCAGTGGTGAAGGTGGCAGTCTGAGATGAAGAAACAATAATCCAGAAAAACAGAGAGCACAGACACAGGAAGTGAAACAAGACAATGACAGAAGGGGAAGAAAAACTGCAAAATAAAACAGGAAACCAGAAACAAACATCAACAACATCAGCTTGGTTAATATGTGTGTGTTTTCAGACACTGTTTGGACAAAACCAACATCAGTTTCTCCTTTATCAGTAGAAAGACATATTGTTTATTGGTTTATTGTTCAAGTGAAACGTTTTATCTCATTCCTCCACTTTGACTGAGCCTGTGGGACTTTCAGCAGGACATCAGTGAGCTGTTTTACTGCTCGGACTGCTGCTATATTTTCTGTAAACCACCAGATGGCAGTGTGCCGGCTGAGTTCGCTGCCCACAAGCTTCAAATCTTTTCTCAGCACAAACCAGAGGAAAGCCCACAAGCTGCATGAAGCTCTGCTCAGCCCACACTGGTTCTGATGGTCCAGCTCAGTCTGCTTTAGCTAGTTACTATAAAACAAAGAAGAAAAAGGCCCATAAACAGCTGTAGAACCTGGAGACAATAGTATAGTAAAATACTTTTGTGAATACCTGATCTCGACGGAAACTGTTTCTCCCATCCCATAATCCTGTCCCTGTCCCACCATCACTGGCTTGGTTTAAAAAGACATATTGTAGGTTATGTTTCCTGATCTGAGCTACAAACTGGTCCCAGGTTTCTGTAGAGGCGTCATTGTTCCTCTTGATGAGCCATGTTGCCAGTTTAACTTGCCCTGTTAAGACATAACAAGCTAACTTTCTTTTATGGGACACGTTTGTATTTAAAAGTCATTAAAATCTTCCCTTTTCATTAACTCTTACTTAGGTATTTACCCCTTTGATGTCCCATTAGCTCTTACTAGAATGTATTGTCAGTTGCAGATCTCGTGCTGTATTTGATGCTTTGTTGATGTTTGTTTGTTATTCCTCAAATGTAAGTCTTTGGATAAAAGCGTCTGATAAATGAGTAAATGTAAATGTAAGCCACTGAAACACCCCTTTGGGTAAGGAGAGAACCCTGTTTGATCTGGAGCATCAGCCACAAATGCTCCAGGGTTTCCTCCTGGGAGCAGACAAGGCAGCCAGCACTAGTTGTGGCGTCATCATGTGCCACAGCGCCATGCAGGATCCTCCACTTGAGATCTGCAGTACGTTTCTCTATGGGGGTCTTACACAGCGACCTCCAGCTGCCCCCGAGGAGAAGAGCCTGGTGCAAACACTTCTGACCACCTGGATTCTTTCAGTTCTGCCAGTGCAGCCAGGTCGAGGACTTTAACACTTGTGATGTATGATGTCTCTCTGTTTAGTCCATTCAAGGTTCCACATTGGGTTGTTTTAAAGGAAAGGAGTAAGTACATGATGCACTCTTTATATCGTATGTAACTTGTGTTGCAATACTTAGTTTGTGAGGCTTAGATAAGAGGAAGTTGTGTTGACACAAACAGATATATATCTGCAATTGCTTTTGTTTTGGTAATAAAGGTCTCGAAACTTAAGGCACTGTCTCATCTGATCTCTTCTCATCAACAGACCCGGTGAAGTCGGCGTACTTCAACAGTATTCAAAGCACAAAGCATCACACTGTATGTAGAACTCATGCCACACTGCTCTCATTAAAGTGATGAATGATCTAATACTTACTGCTGATACTGGTTATTGTTAGATTTTAGTCCGACGATTCTAGCTCAGCTTTTGACGCTGTTGATCATTCTAATTTATTGGAGCACCCTGAAAAGTGGGTTAGCATCAAGAACACTGCTCCAGATTGGTTTAAGTCCTATTTACCCAACAGAACGTTCTTCATAGTTATGGATAATGCCACCTATTCTTTGGCCCCTGTAACCTGTGGTGATCAAGAAGGCTCCCTCAGACCCTCAGTTGGTCTGTTTATATATGCTGCCATTAGGTCACATTATACAGAAACACAAAATAAAATACCATTGTTATGCTGATGACACACAACTGTACATCCCATTAAATGGAACATACTGTAGATAATCTTCTCTGCTCTATGGGTGAAATAAAGTGCAGAATGTCCCCAAACCATCTTCAATAAATGAAAATAAATCTAATATCATTTTCTGTCTAGAGAAACATCTTGGATCCGTGTCTGCAAGTATCACAGCTTCAGCCAGAAAGCTGTTTCTAATATTGGACAGAACTTTCCTTTGAAAAACATCAAACATGTTGTAACTTGTTATCAACTGAGAAACACCACAAAAATCTGATCTTTTCTCTCATGGCCTAAACTCGAGCAGGTCATCCATGTGTTTACTTCTTCCAGGTAAGATTTTTGTAATTCACTTTTTGCAGGGTTAAACACAAAAAACTTCTGCGGGTACATAATGCAGCTTTTAACAAACACTAGAAGACAAGATCACATCAGTCCTGTTTTAGCCTCACTTCACTGGGTACCTGTAAGTTTTAGGATTGATTTTAGTGACCACTTTTAAGGGACTACATGGTTCTGCTCCCCTTTGAAACAGTACGCAACCTCAGGTCCTCGGGCAGGGCTCTGTTTGCTGTTCCTAAGGGCGCTTTTACACCTGCAGTTCGGTTCATTTGGACCAAGTGAAAAAAATGATCATCATGCATCATCAGGACCCACGTGGGGAAATCAAACTCCGGTGACTGACTTTGGTATGATACTCTTTATTTTTAACTATGTATGTAACTTTGATACAAGTGCTGTATAAATAAAGATTATTATTATAATATATCCTGCCCCATGCTAACAAGAAAATCACCTGTCAGTGTTCATAAGGATGTAGCTGATCAGTATATGTGTCCTCTGAATGGAACTGAAATTACTCAATCCAGAATTAAGGTTTTGAACTGTGTTCACTGTGCAGCTGATCAAGTCATTACTTTAAGCTTTTAGCAGTTTATCTTCCAGAAATGCAGTTTGTAGTTTCCAAAGTGTCCCCTGCAGAAAGCCAAGGTATTTAAAGAAGCAGTCTGACAGTTTGGGAAATCTGCTTGTTCTTGTTGGATCTCAGCTAATAATGAGCTAAAGGTTAAAAAGGGGAAACATACAGTAGACTTTACTAACTTCTACTGAAACATGTTGGTCTGATCTGTTGTGACTGTCCCTGTCACACTGACATAAACTGTGGTTTAAGATTTTATCCAGATTGCCAAGCACACAGCTGCTGCAAAACAGCTGCTCTGAATCCCATCCTAAACAGCTGCATGCCTACCACTAAAACAGCAGAAATTACACTTAAAAAGTACAAAGTGCTAAAGACGTGTTGAGATGCTCTCCCTGTGTTAAACATCCAAACAACAGTCCAAATAAAGATTTAGGAAGAAGACAGCGAGGCGGCTAGAATGAGCTCAGTTCATCTAAAATAATATCTGCTTTGCTTCTGGGATTAAAGGAGAATAATGACAGACATCAACTTCCAGCTCCAAACTAATAAAACACATTTTATTTCCATGTGTTGAAGCCATCACAGTGAACCAGAGCAAGTTGACCAAAACATTTCCCAGCAGCCACTTCTCCCACAGCAGAGTCCAAACAGTGCTTCCTGTTCTCTACAGTTAGGTGTCTTATTGGAAATGGTCTCAGTAGATGACAGGATCTGTCTCGTCTCTATCCTTTCTATTGGCCTCCATTTCTCCTCCTGTTTCCTCCCCTTTCTCTCTCTCCCTCTTTCTCTGCCTACATGAAGCTGACTGTGGAAATGTTGTCATCATTCATACTGATGGACTGCTGATATCATTGCTGTCCATTCTGCAGCAACACACAGAGGACAAAAGCTTGTCTATGAACCCTTTCCTCATGAAGACATACAGGAACAAGTCTGCAAGAGGACTCAGCCTGATGAAGATGAGAGACAGACTGTTAAGGGTCGGGACATACTTTTTGTGTAGGATCAAAATGATGCTGGGCAGGAACAGCAGCGTGTAAATAAGCAGCACCAGAACCAAAATTCCCACAATTCGTCGTTTTCCATCAGAGGGGACCGAGATGGAAGCAGACAGGGCTTTGAGGGTCCCAACCAGGAAGAAGATTAACAGTGGGAAGGGAAGGAGGAGGAGGACGGCGAGTATGTTTGGATTCACACTATAAAACCAAGAAATGACCAAAAAGGGAGGAGTAAGGACCCAGACCAGGACACAGATCACCACAGAGGTCTTGATGGTTCGTCTGAAGCGGTACCACAGTGGGTGGGCGATGACCAAATACCTGTAATACAAGATGGACACAAAGTCTTTGAGGAGCTTCAGAGTTATAAACTAACATAATGTTCAGACACAGAAGGAGCTCCACACATACTGGATAGACAGATAGATACCTTTCCAGGGAGATGCAGACCATGAAGAAAACACTGGCCAATAAGGCAGAGTAGTAAATATAAAAGAACATCTCAGATATCGTTCCACAAACATTTGGTGCCACCTTAACAATCATGTAGCAGAGCTGAAGGATGTCAGAAATGAGAAGGTTGATGAGGTAGATGGGAGCAACATGATCTCTTCTCACCTGCAGGAAAACATTGGTAAAAGTCAACAAGCAGTTGGAAACATGTTGTGAAGTCCACCTCCTCCCAAATCTGTCATCTTGCTCTGCCCAGCAGCTGCACTCAGAGCCATTTCTGACTTTTTCATCCAACAGGAATCTCAGATATGACCCACTGGCCAATCAGTGCAGGAACAAGACTAAGGGCCAGATTTCCTGCAGCTTCTGCAGCAGTTTTTCAGCCACAGATATGAAGCATTCTGGCTCAAACACATGAGCTGGATTTATCCAGACAGACGCACCAAACGTTGCTACTGATACAATGAACATTAACTCGTGAAAATCAAAACACAACGCTAAAATTAATTATTTTTGTTCATGAAGTCACCTGTCTGTTATTAGGAAAATCACATCTGTGGATCTGTAGGTAAGTCATGACCTTTTACCTAATTATTATATTTATTTTATTCATGTCATCACTGCAGTGTCACATCTGTCTGCATAACGCGCACGTCAGGTCTCTCCGCTGTGGCTGCCAGAAGCTTCACTTTCCCTGTCCTCGTGACTGTAACTTCCTTTTTTTTTTTTTTTTTTTCCCCAACTTGTCCTGGCCAGCAGCCTGGTATAGAGTATAATGACCTCGATACCATATTGTGCCAGACAGATTTTACTTTAACAAGAGAGTATTTAAAATACTCCTTTGTCTGTTTTATTATTTATTTAATTATGTATTGATTTGTCACCGGGCCGGACAGGGGGGCAGACACGGGGATGGGGGGGCACAAACAGGCAGCACAGAGAAAGGACAAGACCTGTAAGAGAAGGGGGATGGAAGGTGGGGACAACAGGGAAAAGCTGTGGGAAACACCAATTGCAGAAAGCAACGAAACCTGCAATAGAACAGAGAGGGGGGCTTGGGGAGGAGAAAAACAACAACAAACAAACACAAACAAACAATAAAAATAATAATAATAGTAAAAGACAAGCAGCCGAACAGCAGCAATAAACAGCTGACATAGTAAGACAACTAAGAGAAAAATGAAAACAAGAAACAGTCACACACACTAAATAAGCAACACAGCACAGCCACGAGAGCTGGAATAATAATTAATTTAAATAAGTAACTGAAAGAAAAGCATCAGGAATAATTCTACCAGGGACAACCTAAATTTGTTTGTGTCTGTGTGTGTCTGTGTGCGTGTGGGTGAATGTGGCCTGTTAAAGAATGTAGTTGTTAGTGAGAGACGCCACGACTGTAACAGGCAGGCAAGAACCCCAGTAGCCAATAGGGGTGGGAGAAAGAAAAAGAATAAAATCAATAAAAAAAAAACAAAGACTCCCAGATGCACTGCGATGCAAACGCAGAAGACCCCGACCCAAATGACAGTTGACAACGTGATGCCGACGGAACGCAAAAAGCGTAACTTCCACTAACCACAAGAAAACAAAAAGGGGAAAAGAGCACGAGTGTTACTTTGTGGCTGTAACAACGCTGTTGACACAATGTCCAAATAACCTGCAGCCCCTGCTGGAGCAGGAGAACCCTACAACGATCAGTATTTAATGTTTAATTAGACTATAATCAAAACTCATGTTAGGTCTAATTTTCGGGACAACTGCTCGTAATTCGGTACTGTCCCGGATTTTTCGGGACGTCTGGTCACCCTATTTAAGGCTGGTGTGTGTCGCATTGAACATTGTGTCGTGGCAGTTGTGTGTGGCGTCGCTATGACGACCTGCTACGTACTATCTCTGGGTACTACCTGCAATGGAAAACGGAGCAGGGCCGAGTAGAGTCGAGTCTATCGATTTGCTCCATGGTAGCATTTTTCGGCAGGGCAGCATAGATCGTCAGAACACCGGCAACAGTTCAACGTTTAGTCCTGATGGTAAGATGTGGAACAATGATGTTGTGGACTTGTGAGTAACTTCTACCATCTGCTAGCTTACGGTCTCAGTCTGAAGCGGCTTTGATTTGGATCACATTACCTTGTTTCTTACGACCCGCCCTTCTCCGCATGTGCAACTCCCAACAAAGATTTTGTACAAGTAAGATGCATCACTCTGTAGCTCAAGAGCGGAGCGTACAACACACAGGGTGAAAAGAGGAGCTGCAGCAATGTGCAGTATGAGAAAAATATGGTGTTTTTTGAAAATTAAACCATGTAAACCTGTTCTGGTATAACCCCTAAATAAGATTACGAACCTGAAAATGAGCAGAATACCTCATCTTTAAGCTCAACAGTTTAAGAGAAGGTTGGAATGGAGCCACACATGGAAACTGCATGTGTTTAGGGTCCAATCAGCTTCATGGACATTTAAATTCTGGAGTCAATTATTCCTGTCAGGTTATAGATCATTCCAAGCCTTTGTCCCAGCCCCCTGACACCTAGCCCTCAAACCAGATCCAGATCCTTTACAGACAGACAGACTGTAGGACAGACACACCACACAGACAGGAAATAAATAACTCTCAGTCAGAATGTACATACCATAGAATAAAGAGCATAGATGGCCACCAGGGTCAGAGGAAGGCCGACAGCAACAACTATGTATGTCACCACTTCTACTGGGTCAATATGGTATTTGAAGGTGGTGCTGCTGTAACCATAGCTTTGGTTCTGTGAGCTGCTGTTAAAGTAGAGACCTTCCATTCTTCAGAGTGAAACCTGTTGTTTGAGAGATCAGGTTATTAAAGAGAGCAGGTTTTTAATATCTACCTAACATTGTTCAGTGACATCACTAAAGCTGTGAGGTGAAGTTCACACAAACACAGTGTACCTATAGTTTACCCACAATCATATCAAATCACAAACTGCTGTCTTTCACTTTTTCAATTTGTTACATTTAACATTTATTTAGTCAAATAAGAACAACAAGTATGTTTAGAACTGATTGAGAAACACTAATTCATCTTATTTCACTGAAGTTTTTAAATGTTAACTGAGTCATTAACTGACTGTAACCTGTCTCCTCCTGAGGCTTTTCATCAACAATCACAAAATCCTGAAAAACATTACTATAACAATAGACAGAAGATGACGAAGAAGAAGAATTTGTACAAAGAAAAAGAAAAAAAAGCCTTTGTAAGCATGTTCTACATATCTGGACTCTAGATCAGTATTACTTTCTTATTTATAGGTTTAATTCTAAATTGTTCATGCTGTCTCATTTTCATTATTCTTTCTTTACCTCATTTTATTTAAATTAAATTTTATTTATATAGCGCCAAATCACAACAGTTATCTCAGAGCGCTTTTCATAAAAGAGCAGGTCTAGACCGTACTCTGTGATGATATTTACAGAAACCCAACAGTTCCCACCGAATGAATTTAAAATACTAGTAATAGTATTTTAGAGATTAAAAAGCCCAAAGGAAATCAACCCTAACTGTTTTAACCTCAGTATTCTGTCCACCTACAGTCTAAAGCTGTCTGCTTGTTCATTTATCTGTTTAATTCGCTCTACATAGAAGAAAAAAGGAATTTGACTAAATGTACCTGGAAAAGCTGCCAGACCACCTGAATGAGTTCCTCCTACAGAGCCCGATGTTTTGTCCTCTGCAGCCAAACCTCAAACATGGCCAGTGACAACATGCAGCAGGGTGCCGATGATATATTGCTGCTCGTCTGAGACAAGGGAGTGTCTTATCCATACTGTAACTCCTAAATCTGGGCAAGTTGGGTCAAGTCCACATACTAGGTGTGTTTCATAATATCTCACATCAACACAGAACGAACCTCATTTTAAACATCCAACAATGATCAATACCCAAGATATCTCCAAACACAGGACATCAAAATGTGCGATTCAAAGTAGGAGTAGAATATGTGATACATCTAATTAATGACACAACTATAACTTCTTTGAATGCAGCTTAAGGACTCACACATGTACAGGCTTGCCTGCCAAAGCAACAGGCTGATAATAATCTATATCTGCTCTTCTAAGTAAAATCAATCCATGTAATGACTGAAATGTTGGCAGGTAGATTGAAGATTAGAGATTCAGGCCATGGAACCAAAACCAGGTGAGGTCAAGGAGGGCCCAAGCCGAAGGGTAGAACCTAAAGGCAAAAAGACACACAAATACAGGTGCTGGTCATATTATTAGAATATCATCAAAAAGTTGATTTATTTCAGTAATTCCATTCAAAAAGTGAAACCTGTATAATGTATACATTCATTCCACACAGACTGATATTTTTCAAGTGTTCATTCCTTTTAATTTTGATGATTATAACTGACAACTAATGAAAACCCCAAAATCAGTAGCTCAGAAAATTAGAATATTGTGAAAAGGTTCAATATTGAAGACACCTGGTGCCACACTCTAATCAGCTAATTGCAAAGGCCTTTAAATGGTCTCTCAGTTTAGTTCTGTAGGCTGCACAATCATGGGGAAGACTGCTGACTTGACAGCTGTCCAAAAGACGACCGTTGACCCCTTGCACAAGGAGGGCAAGACACAAAAGGTCATTGCTAAAGAGGCTGGCTGTTCACAGAGCTCTGTGTCCAAGCACATTAATAGAGAGGTGAAGGGAAGGAAAAGATGTGGTAGAAAAAAGTGTACAAGCAATAAGGATAACCGTACCCTGGAGAGGATTGTGAAACAAAACCCATTCAAAATGTGGGGGAGATTCACAAAGAGTGGACTGCAGCTGGAGTCAGTGCTTCAAGACCACCACGCACAGATGTATGCAAGACATGGGTTCCAGCTGTCACAATCCTTGTGTCAAGCCACTCTTGAACAAGACACAGCGTCAGAAGCGTCTCGCCTGGGCTAAAGACAAAAAGGACTGGACTGCTGCTGAGTGGTCCAAAGTTATGTTCTCTGATGAAAGTAAATTTTGCATTTCCTTTGGAAATCAAGGTCCCATAGTCTGGAGGAAGAGAGGAGAGGCACAGAATCCACGTTGCTTGAAGTGCAGTGTAAAGTTTCCACAGTCAGTGATGGTTTGGGTGCCATGTCATCTGCTGGTGTTGGTCCACTGTGTTTTCTGAGGTCCAAGGTCAACGCAGCCGTCTACCAGGAAGTTTTAGAGCACTTCATGCTTCCTGCTGCTGACCAACTTTATGGAGATGCAGATTTCATTTTCCAACAGGACTTGGCACCTGCACACAGTGCCAAAGCTACCAGTACCTGGTTTAAGGACCGTGGTATCCCTGTTCTTAATTGGCCAGCAAACTGGCCTGACCTTAACCCTATAGAAAATCTATGGGGTATTGTGAAGAGGAAGATGCGATACGCCAGACCCAACAATGCAGAAGAGCTGAAGGCCACTGTCAGAGCAACCTGGGCTCTCATAACACCTGAGCAGTGCCACAGACTGATCGACTCATGCCACGCCGCATTGCTGCAGTAATTCAGGCAAAAGGAGCCCCAACTAAGTAGTGAGTGCTGTACATGCTCATACTTTTCATGTTCATACTTTTCAGTTGGCCAACATTTGTAAAAATCCTTTTTTTGTATTGGTCTTCAGTAATATTCTAATGTTCGGAGATACTGAATTTGGGATTTTCATTAGTTGTCAGTTTTAATCATCACAATTAAATTAAATGAACAGTTTGAAATATATCAGTCTGTGAGTAATGAATGAATATAATATCCAAGTTTCACTTTTTGAATGAAATTACTGAAATAAATCAACTTTTTGATGATATTCTAATTATATGACCAGCACCTGTATGGCACTTAACAATTTGTAGTCCGATACATTCAGCTTTCAGGTTGACACCTCTCCCTCCCAATATGGTTAATAAAAGGTCCCCAAGTGCTAAAAAACTTTGGGTTGCCATCAAGACACAGTGTCATTTAACCATTTAAGGAAAGGAGGCAGATTTCCACTCCCTCAGGATAACCCTTTATGCAATAACCATATCAAACATGAGAGTTTGTTGTTATGCTGGAAGGAGAGAAAACAAGTGGTTGGAACAGCCTAATATCACAGAGAGACTGTCAGGGATTAGCTGTCTATTGTATATGCAACTGTACACATTGAACATGTCATCCCAACAGTTCTTGAGCTTGGGACAGGCCCAGAAAAGATGTCCAAGTGACATCAGACTCTCACACTCAAGCTGCCTAAAAAGTGCTCATTGCTTACCTTATTAGGGATTACCAAACACCAATTGTAAGTTGCTTTGGATAAAAGACGACCTGTCTGTGGTCTCTGAATCACCTCCATCCATAGTAACATCCACTCCCACACGGCCACACACTTGTCAACTGCTCCATTAACTTCCTCAGCACTGCATCATCCACATTCAACATAACAGACTCAGCGCTACTCACATGTAGCACGCCGTTGACCTCACGATGCCGCCCACCGCTGTAACGCAAACAGCTTCACCAGGTCGTATCGCTCCCCGTGGCCCTTTTTGAGATTATTTCTTAAGTGGCTTTGTTGATGTAACAGGGAAAGGTAAGAAGTAATTTCACTGATCCCAGTGTTTTCTGACCTTCTAGCTTTAGGTATTTCTCACATGTTGTTGTCCTTGTCAGGAAGACAACAATAGACTGATTAGTTAAAGACAGTAGCCCGGGCATCAGGCTAACAGATCTCAGTGTTCTATGGGAATCTTACAAGGTTGAGTCCTACAAGAATGTTTACAAGAACTCACTGGCTCCACAGATCAGAGTACAACTCATGAATAGCGAGAGATTCCAACGTGACGAAGCACTGGAGTCTAAACATCAGGTAAATTAGTTGTTCTAGGTGAAAGGTGACCTAGAGAAACCTACAGTCACTAGGGGGAAGACAGAAACATAAAAGGGATGAAAAGATGTTCTTCAGATTTGGTGTTGGCCTGTTGTATGCTGGCACTGTGTCTCCTCGGCCGGGCTCAATAAACCACGCTATGTTAAATCTTTATCAGTCTCCGAAACTTCTTCACACCTGAACCTTGCTCACAGTATTTCTTCAACACCCCTTGTGTCTGATTTATCCCATCTATATTCCCTATTTTTCTCATTCATGTCTCAGCAGGCTGCACACCCTACTCCTGCACCCCTCTATCCCAGCATCCTTTCTTCTTCCCTACCTGCCATCCATCCCGCCACAGCGTTCCTTTCTTTCCTGGGTTCAGACCTCAGTAACACTAGGCCTTTCTGTGTGAAGTTTGCATGTTCTGCCCGCTCTGGTTTCCTTCCACCATCAAACTGGTGCAAACAAACATGCATGCTAAAATTCGGCCAGAGTAATTGTTCTTTTTCTACCACAGGGGGACCATCCCTCCCCTCTTCGAGCCCTTCATCCTTTCCTTCCTGAACCTTCTCGCTAACCATACAAACTACCTTTCTTACCTCAATTCTTAGTCTGAGTTACTGAACTGGTTGTTAACGTAGAGATCCTTAATAGAAGACAGATCTTTCTTCGACCAGTGTGCAAAAACAGCATCTATCAAGCCAGGCTTAAAGCAGGGGTTTTGACCTATAGGAGCATACATAGATTGAGATAATAATCTTAAACACATTACATAAAATAAAGTGATCCTGCAGTTGTTTTATAGGTAGATTTGGTTTGGAATGAAAATGGCCGTTAAGGATGCAGCAGTAAGCCGTGCTGCCTTACAGGACTCAATCTCGGGCCATCTGGGATTGAAGGCGGTCCCCTATCTGGCCACAGTTGATGTGTGCTTCCAGAAAAACCCATTACAGGCTCAACAGACCCAGGCCACCTTCTGTAGGTGCGCCTTGGAGATTGGAGGGGACTTGTTAGCCCAGATAAAGAGTTTAGTGCTACACCTTATCCCAGTGATAGGAGGACTGACTCTAAGAGAGATGACCAAAGGCTCGAGAGCCAGGGCCAGAGCATGGGGGGGAGGCAGAAACCCTGTCTAGTCCCACGGTGCAGGGTTTGGAGCCTCTGGGTCTGGGGTGGGTCTGGGGTGGGTCTGCGCGCTGGGGGGGCTGGGCCCGTCCTGGGGATGGGCGGGGTTGTTGCTGACTCCGGGGTGCTGCCGGTGCTAGAGGGGCTCTTGCTATAAGCCCTGGGCTGGAGGGACCTGGCGTCCTCCTGCTTAGGGGGGTGGGGGACGGGACTGAATGAATGATGGGGCCAGTCAGGAATCTGGTCTTCTAGCCTCCCTATGACCTCCTTCACCTTTCCCCCTTTGGTCATGTCTCACAACATACACCCTTAGGACCCTGGGGGGCGGGCAGCCTGCAGGGCGTTTGGGGGGTGGGGCTGCTTTATTGCGGCCTCGCACTTCTTCCTCCCCCACTGCCCGCCCCTCAATTTTAATTACACATTAGACACAGAGGGCTTGGGGGGTGGGAGGGGCACGATGGGAGGCTCCACTACCTGACAGTTGTGGGGTGCCTGTGTCACAACTACCCTCCAATTTTAGTTGCACCTTAGTTACCACACACCTTATCTTTACTCCACCATACAACACTTCACAATCCATGACATGCATCCAACACAAGACAACACATTTACAGAGGCAGGCAGAGGGGTGAAGGAGTGTGGGAGATTTTCATTGGCCTCGTGTCCTTCCCCTGGAGCCCCGGGTGTCGGGGGTGCTGTGGGGGAGGCATTTCCTCGTTGGCTTGGAGGGACCTGTTTGCATCCCTGTTCTGCTTCATTGGCCTTGGATCCATGCTTCCCCATTTCTCTGTCGGCCA